AAACATTTATAACAAATGGATGTTATATGTTAAATGGATGAAATTGCTTAAGAACTTATAAAGAATTCAAACCCTGTCATCAGATCTCAGAATAAGAGAGATGAACACCCACAATAAAAATGTCTATAAGATACACTAATTGTAGCAAAAGTCTCTGCTCGCGGAGAAACAAGCTCTGTCCAGTCCACTCATGAGGGAGCTACTGCTGTTACCATCCCTAAGGGCTGGGAACATCTACCAGGGACCTAGAAAGGAGCCTGCACTCTCCTAATGTGGAGACCTCTGGATCTGCCAACATTCCAATGTCATGGTCTCACCTCCTTATTTTGAGAAGGTTCATGTTAATGACAATAATAATTATAACCATTTGTTTCAAAATGCTCCCTGTGTCAGGCACTCTGCTATACATCCACATACTTTATCCCACTTAGTCCTCAAAGCAACTCTATGTGGTACATATTACTATCCTTATTCTATAAATGAGGCCACCAAAAATCATAGGAATTATGTAAATTTGTCAGTGTAATACAGTTATAAAGGGCATGGCAGAAATTCAAACCGAGAGGTTTGATCCCAGTTCCTGCATTCTTACTGCATAATTTACAAAGCTCAACATTTTGACTTTTATGTATCTTACTTGATTCTCACAACAACTGCCCTTTGAGTTTACCCTGTAGATTTATGTCTTTTCCTAATATAGCTGAAAAAAGTTCCACTCTGGTAAGTGAAGTAATTCGCCTAGTGTCAGCAGAGGCAGGAGCTCAGTGGGAGGATCTGGAAGGGGCAGGAGGGCACGGCCCCTCGTCCAGAATTCTGGAAGACACATGCTTAAAGCCTACAACACTGAAAGGGAAAACGAACAGGTGTAATTAAAAGTAATAGATAAACTATGAGTTCAACAAATATTTATTGACCACCTCGTATGTACTACACTGGACTGGATCATATGAACACATGATTATAAGACAAGACCCGCACCCTCAAAGACAGTCTGGTTGAGCTGTTGCATATTATTTGTATTTAACCAAAATTAAACAGTAGTTAGTCCTTCTGGTCACTGTATGTCCACTTGTAGAAAAAAAAAACAAGTAAGCTGTCTTATTGTGATAAGATATCGAGTTATTTTCCATTTAATCCACACTGCTTTACAAAAAAATTCACAAGTATTTCAAGTAAAATGGTATCATCTGGGTGGGAAGTTCTGGTTTATGTGAAGAAGCTGGAGGTGGGCTGCAGCAAGTGGTTGCACTTTTTAGCATATACACCATAGGAGCATATGGCACTAAAAGAGCAAAGTCCGTGGGCTGTCCTCACTAAACTTGACAATGTTACAAACCTAGAAGCAACAGTATNCTAATCATATGTGTGTAATTAATGATATTTAAAAACGCTTCTCTGATAAAGTTTGACATTTCTTAAAATTTACCAAATATTATAGCTTAACACCTGCAGTCGTTCTCACCTTGGCTGCAGGTCAGTGTCAGCCTAGGGAGATCTGAAAAATCTTGACACCCAGACTGTGCCTCAGGTCAATTAAACCAGACCCTCCAGGGTGGGACCCAGGCAGCAGTATTTTCTAAAGTATCCAGGTGGTTCCAATGTGCAGCCCAGGGTGAGAACCACAGTCCTAGAAATACAGAGAAAACATCAAGTATCCTGTTGGCATTGGGTAAGAACTAATATACCCAAAATCTAATGGTTTTAGTCATCAGTACTACTATCCTCTGTGAACAAGATTTGGAATGGCCTATAGCCAAATGTAGCTGTTACGATGGCGATGTGGAGATGAACCCCTAAAGAAAGAAGGTAGAGAGCAATATGTCTCTAATGACTTGGGGCCCATTTTAGGGAGAAAGAATTGTCAGGAGATAATGGAACTGTATTTCAAACACCCACATGTTTGTGGTTTCTCTCTTTCTTTGTTTTTGCTTTTTTTAAGATTTTTATTGGGGAATTGGGGGATGGGAACAGCACTGGGGGATTGGAGGAAGGGGAACAGACAAGTTACTGTCCTTTTGTTCTTCAGTCTAGTTGTGGAGGACGTTGCTTCACTGGCCCAAGTTGGCACCATCATTGCGCTCTTCCCGGGTGAGGCAGATTAGTCGCTGGCTTCTGGATGGCCGCTCACTGTGGCTGCTGGACGCTCTTGCTGGCTACTGGCTACTCATGGTAGCCATGGCAACCCACTGCAGCAGGGGTTGCAGCCTATGCTATCACTGGCGATTCACAGCAACCCAGCTCCCAGCTGAGCATCTTAGCTGTAGAGGGCAGTGTCACTGGCCCTCATATGTGGGATCCTAACGGGGGCCCTCTGGCATCCCAAGCCAGCTCTTAACCAATGCGCCACTCAGCCAGTCCCTGTGGTTCCTTTCTTATTCCCCACTCCTCCAGATTCTGATAAGCACTTCCAGAATACGAGATAGATTGGGTGTCTGTGTTCAGGTAATGTCATTATCCCATCTTGTGTTTAGATGTGGGAACAAACACAAAATTGTTTTATTTCTCATCTTCTATTTATTTAGGCATTATATTTCCATTGTCTTTTGCCTTTCCCCTAGATGTGCATCCTACTCACTTCCAAATTAAGAGTTTAATTAGAAGTTATGATTTATTTATTTATAATTA